GAAGACAAAGATATTGAGCCAGTTGACTCCTATAAATACTTGGGCCATGAGAATAAGTCGAGACAACCAAACAGTCGAGCTGACAAGAAGAATAAACCTCGCTTGAGCTGCATTTGGAAAGATGAAGGATGTTTTTAGGTCTAAGATTCAAATGTGTCTGAAAAGAAAAGTATTTAATCAGTGTATTTTGCTAGTGATGACCTACGGCGCAGAAACCCTAACACTCACAAGAACAACAGTAAGTAAACTTCAAGTTGCGGAAAGGACAATGGAGAAGTTAGGATTTCTCTACGTGATAGAATACCCAATGCTACCATACGCAAAAGATGAGAAGTAGCAGACGTTATTGAAAGGATAACAACACAAACTGGAACTGAGCAGGTCATGTAGCAAGATCAGTTGATGACCGGTGGACAAAAAATATTTTGGAATGGAGACCTCGAATACAAGCTAACATAAATAGAGGTCGGCCCCCAACGAGATGAACAGATGACATAAAAAGAGTGACTACAAATTGGATTCAGATGGAGCAAAATCGGACTAAGTGGAAAAGCATGTGAGAGGCCTATATTCAGCATTGGACGTTAGAAGCTAGTTGATAATATTTTGTATACCCTCTTAGCATATACAAAACAGGACATGCAACTCCACGTAAACAGATTACAAGAAGAATCAAAGAAGGCTTGACTAGACATAAACATCAGCAAAACCAAAGAAATTCGATTTGGCTCCAGAAACAAAAAGCCTATTGTGATCAACAACCGTAAAATTGGAAGAGTAGTGAAATTTGTATATCTGGGCAGCATAATTTAGTGTAACGGTACAAAAGAACGTGATATATTGAAAATAATTAATATTGCTCGTAATGTCTACAATATACTTAATAGTATATAGAAATCCAGGATTTATTAAACTAAAACAAAATTAAAATATTTAGCACCAATTACAAGTTTTGATCAATAGACCGTTACAAAAAAATTCTATGTATATTTTGGCATGTTTGAATCTTAAACGCAAATTTATGGAACCAAACCAACTAAGAAAATCTCACAAAGCAAATAAGGTTAAGAAAATGGAGACGGCTGAGCCACACGTTTCATAGAACACCAGATGACATTGTCAGGATAGCGCTGGATTGGTATCCTTAGGGCCGACGGAAAATAGGCAGACCTACGAAAACTTTTAAAGCAACAATACTGCAAAAATATAAAATTATGAGAAAATCCTGGCTTAAAATCAAAGCACTAGCCAGAAATAGAGTTTGCTAGAGACATTTCAGATGTAGACAAAAAGATATTGTTATAGAGTGAACGACTGAGCTCCATACGTTACGCAGATGATACTGTCATCTTCGTAGATAGTGTAAATAGATTAATTGTGGTGGCTTTTTAGATCTATTGTGGTCCTCTATACCTAGATTACATTCTTAAGCTTAATTCATTTTAAAAGGTCTAATAACTCTACGACTTAACCATCAATGTAGATCTTTGGCGGTGGCTTTTCTTTGACTAATGCAAAAATAACCGCACATTTGCCAGGTTACCACACTGATATAAAATGTGCTGACGAATATTTGTGAGCTACCCATTGTCTTGTTGCCATTCTTGTTACTGCCTTTGCAACGCCGCAGAACGTTCTGATCCAACGAATGGCATTAATGCGCTTTGTTTGGCCATTTTGTCTGCTTTTTCATTGCCCTTATGACCGCCATGCCCCGGACCCATGGCCTTACTATGATCGTCTAATTTACTTAGGGCACTAACGCAATTACATAGTAACTTAGAATTCTAGACCTCTACAGAATTGAGTGCTTTGACTGTTATCTGTGAAGATGGCAATTGAACGGAACGTTCTTTTCTGCCTTTTTATTTTTTCTATGCAGTGATATATTGCCGATCTTTCGTTAAATAGACTTATCGGGAAATATAATATCCCTTACTTGTATGGATACACCCATCTTCCAGTCTTCCCTGCCTGGAATATGAATTTTAAATTTATTGCCATGGCTATATCTCTTTATTTTATACCATATCTCTATATATAGTACTATATCACTTTTTGTTATTTTCATTGTTGCATCGATGGATTGTCCCATTACAACATCTGCTTTTTGCTCCTCAACTAGCTTTCTTGTGGTACGTGTTGCTGACTATGTATTAACCTGTGCATCACCCATCTGTCTTTCGGATTGGAATCAAAACGTAAAAAACTTAAAATGGTTTAATTCCATATAAACACAATTTTTAATATAAAATCCTTTTCCGATGTTATTAGCAGAACTTAATATTAAAACTAGATTTGTGAGCACTGACAACAAAAAAATGTGCTAGGGTAATTCCAGAAATAATCGACACAAGTCGGTGGGGTCACCCTCTCCGATTTGGCTGAAATTTTACACACATGTACTAGACAAAAAATCATGATTGTCAAATTTTCAGACCTTAATATTCAAAATGGCGGCCGTGGTGCGCTATTGAAGTTTCACGCTTTTTATCAATTTTTTTTCGTGTTTCGCCGATTTTTTTAGTACAGCGAGCTAAATATGCTTAAACAAATATCCACTATATGTTTTCCAATGTAAAATTTTCCGCTGAACACGATGCCGGTGTCAGAATTGACCATATGACGTCATGTAAAGCCACAAAATGCGAAACAAAGCGCTTTTTTTGAAAAATTCATATCTCAAAAACATCCTCTTTAATTTTTTTCAAATTTTCACAAAAGACGCCCTAATACAAGTACTTTCGAATAAAGGTTAACTTAGAAATCCTTTTTATATGTTTGAAGCCGCTGCGCCTTATAAGAGTCCAAAAAACGCGATTTTCCTGCCTTTTTAGCGCTTTTCCTTTGTTTTTGAGCTTCCAAATTACTTTTAGAGGTTTTCTAACAACAAATTCGAATTCTACGAAAATTTTACACAAAAAATTACTATTTTGAATTTATTTACCACCGATTTTACCGTTTTATAGGTGGCGACACAATATTAAACGCAGAATTGCGCGCTGTAATCAATACATTTTTTGCACCCCGTATTCATTTATTATAAAGATGATAAAAATGTTCTGCAGAGTAAAAGTCTCTGTTTTCTGTCAGATGATTTGAATCACGATGTAAGTGCCGTGAAAGTGTTCCAAAAATACATTGTTTCATATGTCAAAGAAAAAATTAATGTCGGCGTGAAAAAAATCAAGTATTTCAGTGACGGATGTGCGGCTCAGTATAAAAATTGTTATAATTATTTTCTTAATCTGTGTAAACACAAATCCATTTACGGAGTAACAGCAGAATGGATTTTTTTTTTGCAAGTTATCATGGCAAAGGTCGGTGTGATGGCAATGGAGGTACAATAAAAAGATTAGTTGCTAATAAAAGCTTAAGGCGACCTGTTTACAATCAGATATTAGATGTTCTTGATCTATATAATTTTTACAAAGAAAATATAAAAAATATTCAAGTATTTTTGATAGTGGCAGAAGAAATAGATGCTAAACGCAAATCAACTAGATCCACTGCTCATACTTTACCTGTTACGCGATCATATCACTTAATCCTGTTGTCGGATTCAGTGGTAGCATGTAAAATCACAAGCTTTGAAAAAGAAATCGATGTTAGATTTGATTTATTAAAAAGCAAAAAATACAAATGGAAACAGTGTTCATATGTATCATTTGTCATGAAGGATGAATGGTACATAGGATATATTGATAAACTTTCCGAAGAAAATATGAAAGCTGACATATCAATTTTACCAAAAATCCATAAAATGTTTATGCGTGGCAGGCTATAAATATGTACAACTGACAGTTCCTTCTAATTATATTTTAAATGATATAACTGTGTTCGAACATAAAAATCACCTTCAAGTACAATTAGTCAGGACAAAATGTAACTTTGGTCTCTTTATAAAACAAAAAAATGACAAATAAATTATTATTGTAAAATTTCCCGTAGGATTCGAATTCGTTGTCAGAAAGCCTCTAAAAGTTATTTGGAAGTGCTAAAAAAGGCGGGAAAATCGCGTTTTTTTTGGACTCTAATAGGGCGCAGCGGCTTCAAACATGTAAAAAGAATTTCTGAGGCTTTTATCCGAAAATACTTATATTAAGGCGTCTTTTTGAAAATTTGAAAAAAATTAAAAAGGGTGTTTTTGAGATATGAATTTTTCAAACAAAGCGCTTTGATTCGCATTTTGTGGCTTTACATGACGTCATATGGCAATTCTGACACCGGGATCGTGTTCAGCGGGAAATTTTACATTGGAAAACATATAGTGGATATTTGTTTAAACATATTTAGCTCGCTGTACTAAAAAAAATCGGCGAAACACGAAAAAAAATTGATAAAAAGCGTGAAACTTCAATAGCGCACCACGGCCGCCATTTTGAATATTAAGGTCTGACAATTTGACAATCATGTTTTTTGTCTAGTACATATGTGTGTAAAATTTCAACCAAATCGGAGAGGGTGACCCCACCGACTTGTGTCGATTATTGCTGGAATTACCCGCTAGTTATTTAGTCAATAATAGACTTTTATTTTTTTTAAATATAAGTTTAGTCACTTTAGACATTTAGGGTTTGTCTTCTCTATAGCTTCATACAAAGCGCAATACAAAGAACATTGCGTTGCGCTTCAACGAACATACAACATTAAGTTCTAAGTATTTATAAATGACAAATTGGTTCTTTCAAAATAATTTTTATTTATTAACTTTAATTAATTTGAATTAATTTGAATTACTTCTAATTACCTTTATTTATTTTAATTAATTTTAATTAATTGTAATTAATTTTAATTAAATTTAATTATTTTAATTAATCTATTTAATTCAAATTTATTTTAATTAGAATAAGTTAATTTTAAATAATTTTAATTAATTTTAGTTAATTTTAATTAACTTTAAATTAATTTTAATATTTTACTAACATTTGCACTGTACAAAGCTTTTGCACTTATTTAACTTACCTGTTCAACTTTCTAAATTATAGACTGTTTCTCAGGGAGCAGCAGCGTCGTTCCAAACCCTCTTCGGCGTATCATCAGTGGGAACGAGAGTTCTGGGTAGCGCATCAGGAGGATCTTCAGCAGGTTGAAGAAAAAATGACGATGTTAGGAAAGATTTATTTATTTATTAAATTTCAAAAGAGGACAAGTTGAATATTCTGTGGAAATTATTCATTATTATTATATTGGCTCCAAATATATTTATTATTATTAACAGTATTCACCACTTTTAAAAACATTTAAAAGTATTATGCAAGTCAAGAAGGCGATTTAGTTTAATTTTAAATATGAAATACAATTTCACTGTTTATCTGTGAATATTGTTTTAAGTATCTCACGTAAAAAATGTTTACCTGCCGTTAAACTCACTGTTAATACTTTATACTCCTTCTCAATTATTCTAGCAAGGTCTTTTTTTCTCTAATTGGTTTCCTATTCTCTCAACTATGATACTAATAATGAGTACAAATTAGAAGCAACTTTGTTTCTGTCTAGTGTCTCACGGCCCTTTATACTATTGTGTATACACAATCAGAAACATATAAACTACCTATATATTTAAAGTACTGAAAATGACTACAAATAATTGCTTTCATTAATATAGTAGCTATATAAAAACTTGTAAATATTACAAGATTACAACCCGCTTGGTCTAATCCTGTAATGATTGTAGTAATGATCCTGTAAGTCGTAGAATGATTGCACTCCAATTCACAGTCCAACCAGTACGTTAATACTTGTTAATCTGTAAGTTACGTATACAAAATGAATCTGAAATGTTACGTATATAGTGTACTATATTATGGAGTGGAATCATGGACGTTAAATCTAGATACCATGAGACGACTTAACGCCTTTGAAATGTGGACCTATAGAAGAATTATGAGGGTTTCCTGGGTAGATAGAGTTACAAACAATGAAATACTGAGAAGAATAGGCAAAGAAAAGGAAATTTAACTTACAATTAAAGAAAGAAAGCTACAGTATCTCGGACATGTGATGCGGGGCGATAAGTATGGCATCCTGCGACTCATAATGCTCATATGCAAGGAAAAATAGATGGCAGAAGAAGCATCGGAAGAAGACGAATTTCATGGCTGAAGAACCTGAGAGAATGGTTTGGATGCAGCTCAAAACAACTATTTAGAGCTACTGCCTCAAAAATTAAGATAGCTATGATGATTGCCAACCTCCGTAGCGGAGATGGCACCTGAAGAAGAAGAAGAATCTGTAAGTTAGTTTTCAAGTTTATAGGAATGTTCTTCACCAGCCACTTTGTCATAAAATGCTCACCTGAAAGTAAGATGACTGCCGTTCTTGGTTTTGGAACATAAGAGACTAACGTTTGATGTTTTCTAAACAGCAAACATACTATACAAACATTTTCTAAACAACAAACATTTCTATATCTAAAAGCAAACATACTTAACATACATAACATATTTACTTAGAATAAACGTTTTATTTTTTCGAAGATTTCCACATGAATTAATATATTTAATAATATATATTCTTCTTCTATAACTTATCCGCAAGTTGTAAACTCATAAAAACATTGACAGTTGTTATTCCAAACCCTCATTCCAAATGGTCTATCAAGTCTAGTTGAACTCTTTGTCCTTAACCGGTTTCGTAATATATTTAAAAATTTGCTTGCTAACTTATTGGCGATTTACAAACTTACCAAAATAAATTACGATGTTTACAATAAAAGAAGTAGTGAAGTCCACAAGGGCCCATATCTTTAATCCGTACTTTTCAGGTTTGCTCTTCATATAAAATCGGAATGGTGCTTTACCTCTAAAAGGAACGAGCTGGTTATCTACACACAGAGGGTCGGCTGGATTAAGTGATAAAAATGTCTTGATAAAGTGATAAAAATATTACATACATCTCTTACTGGAGCCAGTTTATTTACTGATCTTTGTTCTTGTTTGGTTTCAAAATTGTCAAAATGTATAAATAAAGTTAGACTTAGTTGTTTGAGCCTATCTCTAGACATAGGAGCTGATATTATAGGGCTACAGTAAGCAATATCGTCACACCAAAGCATATCGGCCGCCTCTTTCGATGCATGAAAAGCTCCAAGTATAAGCAATACTTCAATATAGGCTTGAATCTTTACAGAACCAATGCAAACATACACTATTCCATTTATTGTAATACTATTGAGCCTACCGATAAGTTTCCATGACAATTATGTTTTCGTCGTAGAATTTCGTCTGAAAAAAAAAACAGAAGGAACGCGTTTTTGATACTTGATATATCATCAATGTAATTTGTAAGTCCTTGAGCATGTCTACGAATATTAGTCTTTGTGCGATTAATTTTTGTGTTTTTTGGCAACCTTGATTACTCAGTTCCATCTTTAAATACATATACCGGTAAGCCTTCGGAGTCAGTAACTGTTGGTTCATTTTGCTCTATGCTTTGATTAATAATAAGGTTATTTTCTTCTTCTACGTCCGTTACATTGTCTTCATCTTCTAAATCACTTACTGTATCCACATTGATATCAAGCTCTGGATCATCACTTTCAAGTAAACGTAAAAGTTCTCTTTACTCATTTGCTTTCGGCTAGATATAAATCAAACCTAACTCAGGTTCGGAATTTTATGCACTATTCACAAATATGACAAGAAACCAATTGACATTGGAACTCAATATATTTATATAATTTCGTGACATTTTATTGCAGCTCGGGGAATTCTTTATATATGTAAAACCCTTGCATAAAACGATAGTACACTCATAGTCGGTACTAATTCGTGAAATCTATGGGATTCCTACATTATTACAACTTTATTGGAATTCATTTTATGTGACATAAAAGGCTGGCCGGGTTATTAGGACACCCTAGCCTATAAAATTGAAGTTTAAATTTAATCTATGTTCTTGTAGGCATGTTTTATCAATACAATATAATAAACTACAGATAGATGAAAATCTGCTGATTAAAAATTAAGATCTATAAAGTAACAGCTAAAAATTGTGATCTGGGGCCAAAGTATACCCCGGCCAGTCCAATGAAGTTTAATGTTTTTGAGTTTGCACTTTTAGTTTGTTTTGTTTTTATTATTTATATTGTCTTCGTATTTATTTATCGTTTAACAGATTGTACTAAATTATAAAAAAACGTATATCGGCATAATATAATACGTATTGACTAGCATCGGATTAATGTTGCAAGTAACTCGATTTGCTTTTTTTTCTACTAAAAAACATTATTTGGAGAATGCCTGTGAATTATTTTATTAATGAATAAATTTTATCAGAATATGGTATGAATGTTCCTTGCGGTTATAGGTTCTTATATAAATTCAGGTGCCACATGTATATAGGCTTTAAATCTTTAAAAAAAATTAATATTTTTGATGACTGTTTAGTAAATTATTATTTTTTGTAAATAAAATATACTATTAGAATCGATATTTGTTCTAAATACATGTAGTTTTTAAATATTTTAAAATTTAGAAATTATTTAAAATTATTTACTTTTAAATATTTATCTTCATTTAAAAAATATATTTACCAGAATATTTTATTAAAAAACCAGTCCATAAAAAATACTCGAAAAATTACTGCTGATGTTGGCTTGTATATATTATATTATTGTAATATATTTTTTACCATTATAAACGTTCTTTGATCTTATTCTTACCTAGGAGCAGAAGACAGGCAGTAGAAGTAATGTAAAACGTAGAACTAAGGTAAGTGTACCAGTATTCGACACCTTAATTTATTAAAAAATAATAATAAATACTTTAATAAAACATACCTAATATGATTCTTCTAAAATATTGTATAATTAGGTTAACGAACATAATATTAAAATTAGTCAGAAAACTGATCAAAATTTTGAGGCTTCGGATGTTCATCATCATCATCATCATCATCAATTAGTCTATATTTGTCCCCTGCTGAACGTAGGCCTCATGTAAAATTTTAAACCTATTTCTATCTTGAGCTTTTTGCATCCAGTTTGTGGTGATGCGCTTGATATTATCCGTCCATCTAGTCGGTGGTCGTCCTCTGCTTCGATATGCATCTTGCCTTGATCGCCATTCCCGAAACTTTCTAGTCCATGCATCATCCGTTAATTTGGCAACATGTTCGGCCCAAGCCCATTTAGCCATGGCTATTTTTACAACTGCATCTATGACTCCTGTTTTTCTTCTTAATTCTAGATTTGGTACTTTATCTCTGATGGTAATACCTAATATTGATCTTTTCATAGCACGTTGTGTAACTCTTATTTCATCTATTGTTTTTTTGTCAGAGTCAGTGTTTCTGCACCATATGTAAGAGCCGGTAAAATGCACCATTTAAAAATCTTTCTTTTTAAACAAACTGGGATACTAGACTTGAAAATGTTATTCAATCTACCAAAGGCAGCCCATATGAGACCTATCCTTCTTTGTATTTCAGTTGTCTGATTAACTTGGATCTACAGAAGGATCCTGAAAATACCATGGACAGACAAAGTCACCAATGAAGAAGTACTGCGGAGAATGAACACAACTGCAGATTTGGTCAACATCGTGAAGGGCAGTAAGCTGCAGTAGTCGGGCCATATAATGAAAAATCAAAGCAGATATGAGCTACTTCAATGCATTTTACAAGTTAAAATTTAAGGAAAAAGGGGCCCAGGATGAAGAAGAATATCCTTGCTCGCTAACCTGAGAGCATGGTATATAAAGACCTCAACACAGCTATTTCGTATAGCTACCAATAAAGTCATCATAGCCAGAATGATCGCCAACGTTCGGAACGGACAAGTTCCCTAGGAAGAAGAAGATTATCTCGGCCTAAGCAAGTCTTATGCCCTAGATATTTGTAAGACATTACTTGTTCGATGATATGGCTCTCAATCAGAATTTTACCTCTGACACTTTACAGGGAGTGTGCAGCATTTTTGTAGCTTTATCAACTCTATCAGATATTAAAACGATGTCATCGGCAAATCTTAGGTGGTTCAGATCTTCCCCATTTATATTAATTCCCATATTATCCTCTCGTTCCATTTGCTTGAATATATATTCAAGAATAGCTGTAAACAATTTAGGGGAGATAGTATCACCCTGTCTAA